GGAACAGTGCCGGTGACCCCTGCTCCATGCCCAAAAGATGGCAAAAAAACCCTCCAGGGTTAGGGTTAACCTTTCTCCTGACCTCAAAATGGTGATTGGCATTTCCCTGGGTGTGTAAGAAAGGACCACAAGAACTAAGCACTGATGTAACCCACCCTGCATTCCCTCTCATGATCTGCCTAAGTTCACAGAATCAGCATTGCTGTCAGATGGCCATCTAGCCTCTGCTTAAAAGCCTTCAAAGAAGGAGAGCCCACTACCTCCCGAGGAAGCCTGTTCCACTGAGGAACTGCTCAAACTGTCAGAAAGTTCTTCCTAACGTTTAGCTGAAAACGCTTTTAATTTAATTTCAACCTGTTGGTTCTGACATTATTGTAATGTGTGTTCCCTCCTTTCCTTCCCTCTCTCTTTTTCTTTCTGCTTAAGGTTGTGGAACTGGACGAGTCCCATAGAATTGCACACATCTATTTATTCACACCAAAGAACTTCCCAGACCCAGATCGGAGCATAAATAGGCAGATCACTAATGCAGACTTGTGGAAGCACCAGAAAGATGTCTTTTTGAGTGTCTCTTCTAGCAGTTTCCCTCTTGGGAAAGGGAAAATGGACTTTCCAAACTGGACAAATGTGGATACCGGGAAAGGTCCAGCTGGTTCAGTTCCACGCACTGTGGAGCGCAGTGGTGAGGAAATGGTTGGTGTGCCACCTCTGTTGTCACTGCCGAAAATCGGGGAGCAAATGGATGTCTTCATCTCACTGGCCTGCCACCCGGGTTACTTTGTCCTCCAGCCTTGGCAGGAGATGCACAGTTTAGAAGTGCTGATGGAAGAGATGCTACTTTACTACAGCAGAGCAGATGAGAGACGGGTCACGGTGGAAAAGAACAAACTCTATGCCGCTAAAGTGGAGAACAGGTTAGTAGCTGTTGAAAATACAGGTTTGCACTGGCAACTTCAGCACTGGTGATTGTGCACAAAAGAGTCCTAATAGATTGGATTTAGAGATGTGAAGGCCTGGAAGAAACCCTGGAAAATTTGGGATTGGGGAGCTTCCCCCCCCCCTGGACTTTTTTTCAGTTTTATTTAAATTGGTGGGGAGAGCATGGGGGGGATCCTGTGAAATATTTCCATTTAGAATGAGTAAATAGCTGCTTAAGGCAAGGATTTTCACACTTAAGAGTGTAGCTTAAAAAAAACCCCTAAGGCCTGTTTGTTTTTCCAGTGAAAAAATCGGGAAATATGGGGAAACACAAGAAAAGCCACTTACACATACGCACTGGTTTTCAAGATTTATTTTGTTTTCAACAATTTTGGCAATAATGTTTGTTTAATAAGAGTCAGACTCAACTGTGGGACTGAACAACAACAGCAACAACACATTACTAAAGAATTCAGTGTCTTCACTGTTGAGTTTACTGTTATAAAGTATCCACTTCACTGTTACAAATATCCAAGCATACTTGTAGTCCTGCCTATGAGAAACTCTTGAGTTTCTGTCCAAATAATACTTTCTCTGCTTTCTGCAGACTTTTTAATTTTTCAGCATTTATTTTTCCTGTCAGATGGCAAAAATTAAAGATTCATGTGCTGTAGTAGTATAGGGTGCATCAGTTGGCAGCTTCCTCAAGCACTGAGCATACTTGCATTTTTTCTTTGCAAAATAAAGATATTTATTCTTGTAAATTCCGTAAGTATGCCCAGTGGTACAATTTTCTGTACTGGTATAAATGATGTGTTTTATGCTAAATCAGTGAAATCTAAAAGTCTGATACGGAACCTAAGTATTGAATATTTCAATTTCTTTCTAAAGCATTTTCCCCCTAGAAAAACAAATAGGATTCCCCCTCCCCTCCCCCCGGTGACTGCAAAATTTCTGTAAACTTTGCATCTCTGATCTGACCAGCGCTCCATCTAATCCAGCATTTGGCTTCCAACAATGATAGCTCAGACAGTGTGGGTTAGCGTCGGATGAGGACCTGGGCTCTGATCCCCATGCTTGATACGAAGTGCGCTGCGTTACCTTGGGCCGGTCGTTGTAAGCCTGATCCACCTCACAAGGTTGTTAAAAGGGAGAGAGTTATTATAGGGCATCCTGATCTTATTGAGCAAAATTGTGCTCAATAAGTAAAAGAGATCCTTCTGGGAGGCAAGATGAGCAGAGCTTGTTCTGAGACTGTCGTCTGGTTTGCTGCTTCCAAGCATGGCCCCCCCTCGTCAAAGGAGCGGGTGGGGAAGAACAGGGTTGGCTAGAGGAGACTTTCAGGGAGACAGGGTGGGAGATCTCGTCCGCCAGGAGCTGTGTTGGGATGCAGTCTTTGAAACGGCCAGTTAGGGGCAGTGTCTAGATGTTCACACACAGCTAGCTAAGGGTGCTTAGCAGCTACAGAACTGGGAACAGAGCAGGAATTGGAATGTCACTCCCAGCAAACTTGGAGCAAAGAGATCAGGTGGGGGGCAGAGAGAAACCACTTGGCACCTCAGTCTGAGCATCCATGGATGGGAGGAAAGGGAAGGCTTTTTTTCCCTTCCTTTGAGGGGCAGCCCCCCCCCAACCTTTTCTCCGAGGCCTGAAAGAGATTTGTTCTCCATGAGGTGTGGGGCCCCCAGTGTAGTAACTCAGGGTAGGAGCTGTCTGACTCGGCAGGGAGGGTATCGTGTGGTATTTTGTTCTGCCGAAAGATGACCGGAGGCCCCTTTCCATTCAGAGCACAGGTTGTTTTTTTCTTGTGCTCTGGCAAATGCCATTCATAGGCAACTGTTAAAATATTGAGACACAATATGGACTTAACTAGCGGCAACATGGTTTGTGTTCCCAGAAATTTTAACCTGAGGCATGTGGGGGCATTATATTTTTTTTATCATAGGTGGTACAGAGTGTTAATAAAAGGAGTGCTGGCAAATGGGCTGGTGTCAGTGTACGAGCTGGACTATGGAAAACACGAGCTTGTGAGCATCCAGAAAGTACAACCTCTGCCGGACACATTCCGAAAACTTCCGTTTCAGGCCATAACAGCCCAGCTAGCTGGTAGGTGACAGACTTTAATTAAGTACTGAATGGAAAACACCGAGGTGGGTTTTCCCCCTTAAATATGTACCATAAAGCTTTTTATGTTCTTTGGTGAGCCTCAGTCTTGAAATGTTTAGATTAGAGATGGTCACGAACCAAAATTTTTCACAAACCACGCCTGGTTCGTAAACCTTGTTTCGTATGATTGGTTCTCCCATGAACTGAACAGTTTTTCACAGAGGTTCATGGTGGTGGTGGGGAGCAATAGAGAGATGGCTTACATCTATTTCAGCCTTCCAAGTGTTCCCTTTAAATGGCTTTTGGAAGATCTCCCGCCCCCCATTCTGCTGGCCTCGGGGAGTTGTCCGCAACAGAAAGGAGGGAGGGAAGATTCATGAACCTGAACCAGTTCGTGAAGCAGGGGCAGTTCATCCCGGTTTGTGGGACTTCACGAACCGGAACAAACCTCTATTTTCCCAGTTCATGCCATTCTCTAGTTTAGATCTCCGCATATGCGCTGTTCTCTCTGCTGCTGCTGCTGAGTGGTATGTACAATGCTAGTTTTTTGCAGCCCTGACCTTGGATGGCCCAGAGTAGCCTGATCTCGTCAGATCTCAGAAGCTAAGCAAGGGCGGCACCCCTGGTTAGGACTTGGATGGGAGACCACCAAGATAATCCAGGAGTGCTTATATCAGGTAGGCTGGACCCAGACCATATAGGGCTTTATAGGTAAGAACCAGCACTTTGAAGCGAATCCGGTACGCTATTGGCAACCAGTGCAGCGCTTTCAGCACAGGCTAAATATGGTCCCTTCTAGAGAGACCCATTAACAGCCTGGCCGCAGCATTCTGCACCAGTTGCAGCCTCCGGATTTGCGACAAAGGCAGCCCCATCCCTGGACAGGCCACTTGATGGCACTTTATACACGCAGTTGGCTAGAAGCCTGCCCTTGGAAGCCATTGCACCTCAAGAGGAAGAGAGAAGCAACGGTAGCTCAGTGGGAGAGCAGCTGCCTGGCATGCAGAAAGCCCCAGGTTCAATCCCGGGCATCTCCAGCGGAAAGGATCAAGTATTCGGTGATGTGAAAGACCACTCCTCAAGACTCTGGTGAGCTGCTGCCAGTCTTCGTAGACAATACTGGCCTTGATGGACCAAGCACCAGATTCAGGAGAAGGCATCTTCATGTGTTCATCTCTTAAGAAAAGACATGTAGTACCTCCAGGGCTAACAAGAACCATGAAACAGAGTATTACAATTAAAATACCATTATCTCATCACAACAAAGCACTGCAAATGAGAGCCCAAAACATTTCAGAGGTATTGAGTCCTGCCTTGTAGACAGTAGAAGTCTTGCTGATCAACAAAAGCTCCTGTAAAGTGTACTCAGTGTTAATGACGCGTTTAGCAATGGTGCACTCATTCGTTTAAGGCCCTGATCATTTTTGTTACAAATGCTGGCTGAGGAGCAAGGGGATGCTGAGACTGTGAACAAGATGCGTATAGAAAGGTACAAATCTTTCAAAATGGATGCATCTCCTGGTCGTCATCATGACCGACCACCTTCATGCATTCTCAGCCTCATGGGCTCTGAAATCAGTTCCTCTGAAGGTTGGTCCAAATGAAAGGTTCCAATGTCTTGGTACTCCTTACAGTCTTCTGTGCCTTTTTTCTCCCCCTCCTAGGTGTTGACCGGCAGCAGTGGTCTGAGGAAGCATCAGTAGTATTCCGGAATCATGTGGAGAAGAAAGCTCTGGTAGCACAGCTGAAGGCAGTTGTGGATGGAGCTAATCCATGGGACCGAAAAGTCATAACCTACTTAGCTGACACTTCTCTACCAGACACAGATATATGGATTCATGACCTCATGACCCAGTACCATATGGAGATTTCAAAAGCTAATTAATCGGTTTTTGGAAACTTGAGTACCTTGAGCAATAAGAATGTGGTAGTCTTAAAAAAGAAAAAGAAGAAGAACAAAACGTGAACGTTAACATAGCTGTGACTAAAAAAAATGTTGGTTGATTTCTCCTGGTTTTTGCACTCTTTCTTTAATGCTAAAATTAACAAATACAGAATGTTATCTATATTAAATAAAGTATGCCTGTTATTCTATTGGAACATTTCCCTGCTTCACATTCAATTGTGTAAAGGTAAATCGACTTGTTCACCTGTTTCAGGTGGTGGCCCAGTAGGACAGGTGAAACCCCTCAAGGGCATTTCTGTTTGCCCCTGATGTTCTGTAGTGACCTCTTTCCTCCGGAACCCTGGAAGAGCTACTGCTGCTGCTGGTCTAGATCGTATTGGCTGGGTAGCCCAAGTATTGGACACTGAATAAGGCATTTTCATTGAGGTTCATATGTTCAGGCATATGAAGAACGGGACACCTTCTAGAGCAGAGGTGTCGAACTCATTTGTTACAAGGGCCGGATCTGACATGAATGTCACTTTGTCAGGCCAGGCCATGTGTGCTATAAAACATAATGCCGGGTACCTGAGATAAAAACTTTATAAAGGACAGCAACTGGTAAACTCCAAGTTGGTGTGTCCTCATTGCAGGGCCCCATGAACTTGGAGGAGGGTGCAGCGGAAAACCCACATGGGTGGACTGGAGACTCATCACTGCAGTGCCGGGCAGACACTCCCATGCCCCAACAGAGGATCATTTGCAGGCACACCCCCAAACGTGCAAATGCTGATCCCTGAGGCCATCCGGGACAGCATCCCTGTGGACAGCTGCCAAGTGGAGAGGTATGAATGTAGCTACAGTGGCTCCCAACTTGCCAGTGAGGCTGCTGTGCTTGACTGCTGCAGACGCCACAATTGGAGTGGCTCCACCCACCCACCCCTGAGCAGCCTCCTGTTCGCTCCCTTGCACCAGCTGCTTGCGGGCCACATAACATCCCTGGACAGGCCAGTTCCGGCCCCCGGGCCTTATGTTTGACATCTCTGCTCTAGAGTTTGGCATCTCTTTGCTTTTGCTTTTCCTGATTCCTTCTCCCCGGTACTGAGAAAATCTGGTTTACACAATATTGCAGGGATCAGGTTTGGAGTACATAGTTGCACAATTATGCAGGGCGGTCTCCGCATCCCTGAACAGGCCAGTTCCGGCCCCCGGGCCTTATGTTTGACATCTCTGCTCTAGAGTTTGGCATCTCTTTGCTTTTGCTTTTCCTGATTCCTTCTCCCCAGTACTGAGAAAATCTGGTTTACACAATATTGCAGGGATCAGGTTTGGAGTACATAATTGCACAATTATGCAGGGCAGTCTCCGTCCTTCCATGATGGCTTTCATTATAAAGTCTGTTTAAATATTACGAACTGGCTGGCTCATCGACCCTCCTGGAAGAAGGCCTCCCAAATCTCAATGGTATTGTTTCTATTTTATATAGGATGGTGGAGGTAGTCTTGGCAAGCCAGTAGCAGCTCTTGAGTCTTCTGTGCACCAGACTGCCATATTTGCTACCTAATCACTGGTTGGTTCACATAATCAAGCACCAGCTATGTGCCTGTTGCTTTACAGACCAAGAAGCCAGGTCCCTGTCTCACTTACTGAGAAGGGAGGTAAGAAATGGAAAGGGAGAAGGAGGATAAACAGGAATATGCTTCTTTCAATGACAGAACTCCAGACAATAATGAATAAACAGGAATATGCTTCTCCTTTCAATGACAGAACTCCAGACAATAATTGCAACTGAGCTTCAGGCCTGAGTGTATCATGTCTGATACATAATGATGCTGTGGTTGCAGAACAGACTAAAAAGGCTGGGGCCATGATACATATGTACAGTGTAGAATGTGGCATTGGGCCCAATTTAATGCACTGAGGATTTTTTTAAAAGTTCCTAGGGTGGTGAGTGCAAAAGCTTCCAGACAATGGCTGTTGATGTCTCTAAAGCACTTGCTAGGTAGCATTCCCAGCTGTACTGCATATAGAGCTGCTTCTCTCCGGTGGTTCCCTGGGCCGGGCAAAATACCATCAAGAACCACAAGGGTAAGAAAGAAGTCTGATAAAGGGCCAATATTAAAAACCTAGTTGACACTTATACAAAATTACATGTATTTATTAGAAAGACAGTTAAAAACATATAAGGGTCCAATGGAAGCCTCCTTGAAAAGTTTGTGGTCTAAATACAAGGGCCAATACACATGACCTGACGTGTTTCCGCCCTATTGGGGCCTTCTTCAGAGGTCAAACAGTATTGAGGTACACATAACAATACATATTACAATAAGAACCAATAAGTGCATACTGGACCAAGAAAAGGAAGGTTAAGCAGCAAGGTCTATAGACACAAGACAAAGATGTTTGTGAGGCCTCTAAAGATGAGTCATGTGTCTGGTGCCAAATGCACAGTTGCTGAATTTGAACATTTCCAATTTAGGTCCAAAAAGCACCTGTGTGGCTATCTTACGTCAAAGCTAGAGTGTCCTCAAGCAAATAGCAACTATGCATCGAGCACCAGAC